TATTGCTTCTAGTTAAATACATATTACATGGGATCAATATAGAGTATGATCGGATTTAATCTTTAAATGTTAATTACTTGTATATAAAAAAAAATCACGATCATTAAACATATTTTATAGGGTATGAGAAGCTACATCAATTAGCACATCAGTACAAAAATATACAATTCTATTTAAGACAACTCATTTTATCTTCACGTGACCTCTAAACATCTGTCTGTAAAAAGCTGTTTCTATCAAATTGAGGCCTCCTCCAAGTTGGATTATCTGTCACAGAAAATTTAAGTCAAAAAATTAAGGTTCAAATGCTCTACTTGATTTAAGAAATATATTGAAGAAATTAGTTTTGATTTTGAAGGCTATTTCTCCCAATAATTACGAATTATGACCACTAATCAAAAATACGTACATTACATTATATTCAGAACACATATAACAGAGACCCTTATTCGAACTTTCTATTTAATTAAACAGTTTACAGATAATGTTATGTTCTACTTTATTCTATTACATTATATTACATTAGGCTATATAATGTTATTAGAGAAAAATATAACAAGTGAATAAAATTCTTTTGACAACAGTCGTATAGTTACGGAGGAACAGTGTCCGTTGGTCATGATGCCGAGAAGGTGAGTAAGATGCAGCCAATCAAGGATAGGATCATCAAAATATCGTTTAATGCGGACACGTCGGCAATGATGCAATGGAACTTTAAACCTCAACAAAATCATATAAATGTCGTGCCTGGAGAAACTGCTTTGGCTTTCTACACAGCAAAAAATCCACTGGATGTGCCTATCACCGGTGTATCTACTTACAACGTTGTACCGTTCGAAGCGGGCCAGTATTTCAATAAAATTCAGTGCTTTTGTTTCGAGGAACAACAGCTCAATCCTCACGAAGAAGTAAGTGCAATTCGATCCGTACCGACTATTTTTATTATGAATTCATCTTATGAATCAATACGTTGTACTACTAAGAAATGAATCTATTACGAGCCCCGATAATCCTACTGTTACAGGTTGACATGCCCGTTTTTTTCTACATCGATCCGCAAATCGTTGACGATCCGAAAATGGAGAACATCGACGAGATCTTGCTATCGTATACGTTCTTCCAAGCAAAACCGGGAATGACTCTACCTATACCGAATTTTTTAAGGAAGGATTAATTGTAAATACTAGAAATGCGTTAGATTTTAAAGAACAAATAGAATCATATCGTTAAATAAATGTCCAGTGTATTCTTTGTGGGTGTACCTTGAAATATCACTTGGCCTAAATTTCTTTAAGAGTGTATTTCAATGGTGTAGAGAAATTGGAGAACGCGTTCGTGCACTGCCATTAGAATCTGAAAAGAACGTTGATCGGATAAGCGCGTCGAAGACCAGAGACTTTCTCTCGATCGATGTACATCGCATCGATTTTTAGAGCTAGATCGTGTTCTAATTTCGAGCGGGTTCTTAATAATTTTTGCTGTTGGTTCTCCAATTCATTCAACGATCTCTGCATTCTGTCCACCTGATGATTTATTTCGTCGATTTCTTTCTTAAGGCTGTAACAATATAATGAAGTGATAAACGTTGAGTAATAAGCTATTGTTCGTGTTACACCAAAACAACGAAACGAACCTTACGTGAGCGTAATCGCGGCACAGTTCGATATCTGGCCGATGCATTCTGGCTTCTAGTCTGGTATGAGCTACTTTAACAGCGTAACTTTTATCCGCTATAGCTTTACGCATAAGTTCCAAATTTTTTTCCACTTCGAATATTTCTTGCTGTACCTGCAACAGTAACGTAAGAAGAGAAAGTTCTATTAGTGCATCGATAGAGCTGACAAACAATACATAGTATTCACTTTTTGTAGATGTTGTTCAAGCCTCGTTTTAGCTTCAAGCAATTCGGAAGATCTGTGAGATAAAGCGTTATTTGTGGTGCTCCATGCATCCCACATTTCCTGTGCAACTTTGTTCGTCAGAACCTCCGCGTTTGATCTCAACTGGCAGCTTCTGTTTCGTTCTATTCGAGACTTCTCGACTATTCGGTTTGCTGCATCAGCCCACGTTTCTTGCTCTGAAATACTGAGACGCGCGAACTGATTTCAACATTTAGAAATGTTTGTTTTAATAATATTAGTTATGCAATTGTATATAATATGAAAATACATTAAATGTTAAATATATTTAACTTATTTTAAAAACTAGGAATGTTGACCGTGTGTGGTGTAGTGCAAATCTTTATTTTATATCGACGTATTCGAAAAATCGAACCAAATTCAAATGGTCATAACTTTAGCAACATTCATTTCAGCCCAAAGTGATTATATTCCCATGTGAAATCAGTGTTTGTTGATTATTGTACAATTTTGTTTACTTTAATTGTATTATTATATAATTTAATAGCAGAAACCTTCCGGTTGACTTTAATCGTTTTTGTAAAACGGACAATGTTTAATAAAATATCATCTCAATAGATGGAGCATTTTTTGTTTTTTCTATTTGTTTAACATTACTATGTAGAGGAAAGGCGGGTAGCTCATTATTATTATAGCTCCTAATTTCTGTAATTCACTCTTGGGCAATGACGCTTTTGTTCCAATAGTCATGGAACAAACTGTTACTCACAAGTGTGATTATTATAAAAATAGTGTCATCGACCAAGAATGGATTACTAAAATTGTTCTGAGAGCATAAATAACACTATTCAGCTGTCTTGTGAACCTGTCGATTCTGTTTTACGACTTCATTCAAATAATAAATCGGAGCACGCCACAACATTCTCCGCCCTATCTTCATTGCAGTTTCACAGTGTTTACGAATTAAAAAATTGCAACACATGACCGCAGATCAAATTTGCAAAACAGAAATATTTTATCTTTTCGTGTGTTGAAAAAATATTTTTCTAAATAGAAAAAAAATGTATTCGGGTACGTATATCCTTCAGGATTACCAAAAAATACGGAACTTTGTATTTTTAATAGTTTCGAAAATATAATAAAATTTCGTAAAAGTTAGCAAACATTGTAAACTTTCGAGGGTTTGTAGAATTAGAAAAAATGGTAACTTAAACACAGGATCGCTCCTCTTCTTTGATCCCCTCCATCGCAGGATCGTTGGCAAAACGCGTAGGTATGCAATTCAGTGTCATCAAATACTTTCCCTTCCCAACATGATCTAACTGATCATTCATTAAGGGCAAATTTTCTAATAAATCCTTAACGATACTCCGCATTTCCTCGCGCAATATATCGATAAACAGTATGGCTGATAATACATATACTACTCCCGTTCTCATTAACTGCAAACAAATGTTTACTTTCTTTTGTATTATGTGCAGTTTACAAAAATACGCACATATTTTTTTTAGTCGTGTCTATGCGACCCAAACATCATTAATGTAAGTGTTTTCGGACACCAAAGAACTCGACATCACACGTAACATCGACAGAGGAAGTCATTGTTCAAAGCATTAGAAATCTTTTTCTTGCTTTCAAAGTTGTCTATAACACAATATAAAACATATTCTTCCGTACCACGGATCGTATTCGTTGATTCCGGCGTAATATTGCAATCCGTGACTGTAATTGTTCAATCGATGACACATTGAATCTATTCCCAGTGCGTTTTCTTTGTTCCTCAGGTCTAATTCCAATTCGTTTTGAGAGGCTCTGCAATCACGAAGCTGCAAACGAAATCTATTAATTTGCATTCTGTAGACAAGTTCTGATTATTCATTACCTGTTCTTTACACGTGTTCAAACAGGTATCCAGTTTCTTTCGATTCTGATGTAACATCTGGATCTCTTTCAGCAAACATTTTTCCGAATCGTCGTGCACAAGCTCTATGCCTTTTGTATACAGAATGGTTATACAAGTGTAAATACGTATCAACTAACTATAGCCTGTTTTCCAAAGGATGAAACCTGTGGCACATCGGCGATCATAGATTTTTAACGGTTTCAAAAAGGAAGAAGTCTGTTCTATCGTTTAGATCTATTCTCGAACTTTTAATTTTTAAGATAAATTGAAAATTGCCTCAGACAATTGTTGCGTTAATCCTCTGGCGGCCAACACTGATCACATTATAAAAGTCATGAATAAAAAACGATTGCTTACTATTCCAAAATTTATTTCCTTCTCCTCGTTTATTCGACATCATTGTCACTCAATAATCCGCAATAATGTGCAATTTTCACAGAGAAATTAATTCTAAGCTATATCAGTTAAGAGCATATAGGCTTCTGCGTCTCAGCGATATGGTCTGCCGCCCGAGAATTAAAGATTTCTCACATCATGTAAGTTTCAAATATATAAGAAATTGTTGCGTAATATTTGGAAGGATCGGGAGAATCATTCGTATAACTTTTACAGTTAAGACAGAAAGTGTGTTCTTAAATTTCTTTTTTTCTTTAAAGATTTATTTATCGAACCGTGAAAGGACCTTCGATTTCTTAACAGTAGAATCCGAAACAGAAGTTACCGAAGTGAGGCACACATTTATTCCAACTGCCGGTATATTTCAGGTCTCTTCTTTTCGAAACAATGACTATAGTCCTCACGCGACAAGAAGACAGCTTTGTGCTTATATTCCTCTTCTTACTAGCTGCCCCACTACTGCAGCTAGTAAGAGGGGGAATGTAAACGTAAAGGTGCCTTCTTGTTGCACGAGGACTATATACAGTTTTAGGAGTTACAGTGTATTTATGAGTAATTCAGAGAAAGTGTTTTCTTATTTCACTCATCATTAGCTTTATCGTTACCTTTTCTAGCTTCTCTGTGGTAAAGGCATTCTTCGGCGATATGCAGCGGAGCTTCGATATCTCTAATAGCTTTCTCTAAAATTGAACGACAATCTTGAAGTCTTTCAATTTCTTGAAGCAATCTTTCCAATTCGGAAGCGACCTCGTTTCGCCAGAAACTGATATCGTTTATTCTCTCCCCAAGTCTTCTGCCAGTATCGTATTGTCCGTGCTGAATTTTCTCTTCGGCATCTCTGATACATCAGTCCGTAATTTTATTATCTCCCTCATTACAAGACTATTAATCTAACAAGCGAGGTTTCCCAGATGTTCGATTAATTTTGAAAAACTGACCATTAGAAGTTATAGCATCCAACCAGCTATTATTATCTAATATGTGTGTCAGTCCTCGTGAATTTCGTTTATTTTGGGAAGGTTTCTACGTTCGCGTGTGAGTAGTATACTTAATTGGAATAAAAAAGGAAAGCTTGGGTCTCGATTCTAATGGTAGATGTCGAACAGTTTTTTTATACATATGCATATCCTTTCCGAAGTTCGAGTTGCGTTTGGATATTGTATACTTATGAAGGTGTATGAAAAGGCGTCAGGCGGCTGAGGAGATCGAGGAGAAGGCGCCAGGCGGTTGAGAGGATCAAGGAAAAGGCGCCAGGCGGCTGAGGAAATCGAGCAAAAGGCGCCAGGCGGCTGAGGAGATCGAGAAAAAGGTGCCAGGTGGCTGAGAAGATCGAGGAAAAGGCACCAGGCGGCTGAGGAGATCGAGGAAAAGGCGCCAGGCGGCTGAGGAGATCGAGAAGGAGGCGCCAGGCGGCTGAGGAGATCGAGGAGAAGGCGCCAGGCGGCCGAAGAGGAGATCGAGGAATAGACCGAGGAGGCGACACAACATATACTTTTCATTTGGAACGGGCAATAAAGATTTATACAAAACTTGTGGTTATTGGTACAGCTATGCTCCTTAGTGTACATCCAATCTCACTACGTCACACCTTTCGTGTATTTCTAATTAGATTTCTTCTTATTATTATTATTATAATTATTGATATTATTGTAACAAATCATTATTATCATTATTTTTATTATCGTATTGTGCTTCTGGATAAACAGATGAAAAACTATTTTTATAAGGAGAAGAGTCTGCTCGGTAAACTAGGCTATCTTAACATGCAAATTAATTGTTCGTGCAATCAAAAGGGTAGAACGCGCCTATTACATGAGAATTAGTGTACTCGACTTACCTGATAACTCGTAAAGCATCGTTCCGTGTTCTCTCCGAAAAATGTCGACACGAATCCGCTTCGTTATAACATTTCACTTGTTTTTCGAACCATTCGTTAGGGGTGAACCGTGTATGAAGAGCAGTTTTCGTCGCATGTATAGGATTACGATGATATCCTGTTAGAAGATTCGGAAATTTTAACGAATTCACAGCGTTCCCAGCGTAACTTGGTATTGTCTTTGTCGTTCTAGAAGCATTAATAGAAAGTAGTTAAGTAGTAGTAGTGAAACGGATAAATGATAAAATTATTGCATAATTCCGGCACACTTACAAAGGAAAAACTTCAACGTTTTCATAGCCTGCGTTTGGACGCCAAGGTATCAATTCGTGTCTACCGTTGTAATCCCTCGAACCATATTTTGTTACCGGCTCGATGCAAGACAGCGACATATCATTGGTATACCACGGTAATTGCTAAGTTAAAAATAAAATACTTTAAAGAACATTATGAAATTTCAATGTTTTCATTGCGTTTCGATAACCGATATGCGATTTTCATAAATTTCTTCCTTTTTTTGTATAATATTGTAACATTGTAATCAAATAAATAGATAAACATTTCAACGTATTTAAATATACCATGTCTTCAATGCCCCAATTTTTTAAAAGTAGTTTAATGTTTTTTAATATTTTTTTTTTTAAGTTGAGGGTGCTAGATAAAATTTAATTACGATATGGAATCGAGTGAGTAAAAAGAGTTAGAACTAACTATAAAAAAAATTAGAAAGCAGATTTTGCTTTTGATTAACAGAATTATATATTATTATATTATATTTTATTATTATTATATTATTATTATATTATATTATTATATATTATGTATTAATTATATATTATTATTATATATATCTATAAATTCTTCGATGTTACCAGTGATCGCCAAATGTGCGAGTTCCCAATATTTTCGAGACTTCTCGGCAGACCGAACACACTTTATTTTAAACGTGCTTCGGAGCTTTTAAATCATTAATTAAATGCTCATAAATCGATCGTATGATCGTATAACATTTGTCTGAAACATGTCTTTGTATTGTTAATGCTTAAAAAAATAATCATTTGTATACACTTAAACTGGACGCACTGCAAATTGTACGTACTTAATTTTCATTATCTTGACTAAGTTTATACAATTTTTTTTCAATCTAATAAGCTCTTTGGCAGATAAAACAAAGATACCCATATTGAATGAGAAAACTACTTCAAATTTTTATATCAAATGAACAGAACTTCATGAATTCTGGCAGCCATCTAAATACTTTTCTTTTACAAATATATTTAATCAGTCATAGCAAACT